GCGATATCTGGTGTGTGTGCGCATGTGCGTGTGTGTATGTGTGTGTGTGTGTGTGTGAGAAAGAGAGAGAGAGAGAGAGAGAGAGAGAGAGTGTGGGCGCAGGGCTGGAGCAAGGCGCGTGCGTTGTGGCGGGGCCATGCGGGGCGGCCGGGATTGCGCACACGGCATGCGGGCCGGTGCCTGTGCATGCCCCTCGCCCCCTCTCCCCCCCTTTCGGGGGGGTCAGGCACGGCCTGCACCCGGCTCATGGGCAGGCACTGCCAGACTCACGCGCCACACCTAGCACCCCTCTCGCAACCCCGCCACAGTCCCGCCCGCACCCCCTTGACAACGCACTCAAAAAATTGCAAACCCGCCTTCTCGCACCCCCACTCCGCCAACTACACCCCCATCCCCCCCCCCCCCCCCCCACACACACACACACACCGGAAAGGTGCGGGCCCTGCTGCAGCGCAACCGCGCGGCGCTGGACGCGCTGGTTGAGGCCCTGCTGGAGCGCGAGCAGCTGCCCGGCGGCGCCGTGCGGGACATTGTGGAGGAGCACGGCGACCCCGACGACCTGGCGGCGCGCCGCGCGGGCATGGAGGCCGCCCTGCTGTGAAGAGCCGAAGCTCGGCTAACGGGCGCGCCGCACCGCGCCCGGTGGCGGCCCGGCGCGGCGAGCGGCTACAGGCACCCGGGTTTGGCGCGTCGGCGCCGGTCACACCCCGCCGGCGTGCGGCGGCGGCGCGCCTAGGCTTGTTTGCAGCACAGCTGCAGCCACCTTCATCCTGGTGTCCGCGACCCACCACCCCTCTGCCTTTGCAGCGTGCCGCACCTCAACACACGGGTCAGCCGCTGGATGTAAACAACAGATCATCCCCCCACCCAAGAGCTGTTATGGGTTTTTAGAATCTCAGGTCGTGCCAGCCGTTGCCTGCCACAGTCCAGCCTCACCAAGGCGGCAGCACACACACATGGGGTCCACCGCTGCTGCACCTGTCCCCTTTCACAGGCGCCGAGACCTGGGTGCACAACAACGCACAGACTTACAAAAGGCAGCAGCACAAGCAGGGGGATGTCGCCGAAGGTCACAAGGAGGGGAGCAGTCGAAGGTACGGGACAATGCAAGTTTGCGAGCAAGCCCGCAGACCAGTGTTTGAGGCGCCTGGTTGCAAGGCGGCCGGCGGGTTCAGCTGCCCCTTGAGGGCGGGTGAGACAGGCGGGTGTGTTTGAGCGCGAACACAAACAGTCTGCTGGGGCGAAAGAGAACACGGATGACAGCCGCAAGGGCGTCGAAAAGTTGTTGTGGCAAGCAGGCATGGATATGCCGCATGACGGGTGGGTGTTGAGGGACGAGCCGCAGACGGCGGATGCGCGCGCGGCACAATTCACTGCATTGGGGCCGGCGCCGGCGGTGAGCTGCGGCGGGCCGCGGGGCTTTGATGCAGCACCGGGCGCGCCACACTGCATAGGATTCCACCCGGCAGGGGACGAGACGTTGGGCACGCAGGCAGCACACTGGGGGTTGGTTAGGCTGCAGCTGGCAGGGCACGCGAGGCGCAAGAAATGCTCCAAACAAAGCAGGCGGTCAAATCACTGAGGCAAGTCGTAGAATTTCTTTCGTTAAGCCCTGGTATGGTTTGTGCAGCAGCAACAGCTAAACTGCCGTCGTTAAGGCGCGTCGCTGCGCAACAAATGCACCCATGATTAGGGTCAATCCCACAATCAAAGGACGACGCAGGTTGTGGGTTGCGCGTGCTCGCAGCCGCACCGCTCTGCGCCGGCGGCAATGCCGCTGCGACCCGCCACCCGCGCCAAAGGCGCGGGACGGCGCAGGGCGCGGGTGCACGCTCCGGGCAGCCACGCAGAAGCTTCCTCAGCTACCCACATAGGGAGGTATATCGGGGAATCAGCCGGCAGCTGGTAGCACGAGTGGGCACATCGGGTTGATGCGGCGCGCATGCGCAACCGCATGGGTTTTGGCAAGCATGCGCCAACACCAAAGCGGCCGCCGCACGCACATCCTAAACCCGCGCCCCAAGCAACATGGCCGTTTCACACTAGTTGCACACGGGACAGGCGACGCCTGGCCTGTCACAGCAATCGACCCGCCGGGCGTACGCAGGCGGCCGCCCTTGCCCGGCGCAGGTGGGAAAAAACGCCGGCCCCAGGCGCTTGGACGCGGATCAATGGGAGCCGCGCCTGCCCAGCAGCAGGGCGGCAGCGTGGCCCCAGAACCGCCCGACGCGCCCGCCGCCCGCGGCGGCCGGGGCGGCCGCGCGGGGCGGGGCGACCCGCTCCGCGCCGCCGGCCGCGTCGCTGCTGCCTGAGCTGCTGCTGCTGCTGGTGCTGGCGCCAGATGGGTCGACCGCGGCGCCCGGGCCGCAGAACAGCCGCCGCGCCGCCGCCCCCGCAGCAGTCGGGGAGTCGGGGTGTGCGGCATGCACCCCCATGTCGCCCTCGCTCACGCGCCGCGCCCGCTCCGGCGCACTTCCGCCCTCGCCGCCGCCCTCGCCGCTAGCGCCACCGCCGCCGCCGCGCATGAGGCGCTTGGCGGCGGTGATGGAGGCGCAGTAGGCGGCGGCGTCGAAGGCCTTGAGGCCGCGCAGGGAGACCTCCTCCCCGGTGTCGGGGCAGCGGCAGAGGAAGGTGACCTGGGATGCGGAGGCGACCTTGATCCCAATGGATTGCAGCGTCTTGAGGAACGAGTCGACGCCGTCGGGGCCGGGGGTGTACTGGATGCGGTGCGTCACGCCCCTGGGGGAGGGGGGTGCGGTCACGGTGTAGGCGTTGGCGAATAGGTGAGAGTTGGGATTGTTGGTGCGGACGCCCGCGTGCCGAACATGGGTGTGAGTGTTGCAGGGCGAAGCACATAGGGTCGCAGTTGCGGGGCTGTGTAGCAGGGCAGGAGACGACATGCGAGCGGCGCTGGAGGGAGGGAGGCACGGGCTGGGGGCTCGTGGCGCTGCATGCAGGGGCGCCGCGTGAGGCGCCGCACCTGTAGCGGACGGACATGACGGAGGGTCTGGGCTGCAGCTGGGCGGGCGTGAGCGCGGGCCGCCAGTCCGGCAGGACGCGGTCGCAGAACCGGCAGCGCGTCTCCTCGCTGTGCGGGTGTGGCCGGATGGGAGATGGGGCGTCGCGTTGGCGTGCGCCGAGATAGGACTCAATGATTAGACCGGTTGCGGGGCCAGCGTCAGCTCGCACGAGCTGTGCAGGCAACACACAGCGTCGCACCCGCCCACTGGGCCAACAGCCGTTAGCTCAAAGCATGCCATAAGCACATATCATCACCTTTTACCAGCGCTGGTGAGCTGCCAGCGGGCCAGGCAGGCACGGTGCACCTCTCGGGGGCAGGCGCACGGCCGCAGCAGCTCGCCCGCATCAGAGCCCCCTAGACATATCCAGCACTGATGCTCCTCTTCATCCTGTAAGTGCAGCGTCTCGCTTGCGTTTTGCTGACACTGCACCATCGCGCTTTCCGACATCTCGCGTTGTGGGAGCGTCTCTGTGTTGTCTCCGAAATAAACAGTAGCTATTTATAGGTGAACTACGCTTGCTTAAGAAGCCTTGCGACAAGCGGGTTGGCGGGGAAGGTCTCGAGATCGAATGGCGCGACTGATGCGGTACACGATATGAGAGTATGAAACGTCGACTTTGTTGATTGGTGTTTGAAGTAGATGCCGTACCGTTGCGCGGTATCGAAGGCCTTTGGCATTCTTTTATGCTGCGATGCGTCCAGACCGAGCCGCCGATATCAACATCTGGAACGAGTCATGCATCGAGACGCGACACTCAACCATGTGTGTGGCCAGCCTGGGCACTTGTCAATCTGTTTCGATTCAAATTTCATTATGTTTATGTTGATCGTGCACCGTCACGCGCAGGTTGAGTGCTTATCCCACCACACGCCCAAGTCAGAGGTGCAGTTTCACCGGGGCAGGAGTGCTTGCCTGCTGCTGCATGCAACGTTGCCTGCCTGTACACCACAGACTGACTGAACAACAGCCCACTAGCGGTGAGGAATTTGTACCAAAACAGCGCTGAGATCGCAGTAAGAGCATGATTACAACAGCGCTCGCAACCTGCTGTGAGCCCCTCCCCCGCCTCAACAACTCCGCCCAGCCTGACAACCGCCTCGCAACTTGAGAACAATATATACCTTGCCGAACCAGAACCAGCCACATTGGTATGAAGCCCTTGAGCTACCCTGACCATCCTTACCCTGCGCCCTGCCGCAGGCCAACAGTGCGACACACCCAGCAGCAGGACGGCCGCCTCGCACACAAAAGCTAGGTACAAGCCCAGCCAGCGCCACACGCACGCAACCTCAGCGGCCCGGGGCGCTTCGAGGCGCACTCACGCCGACGCGTCACAGGGAGGCGAGGGGGTCATCATCCCCGCCGCAGTCGCCGCACACCTCACAGGTGTCCACCCCCGTGTCGTCACCGCCCTCAGAAGGTTCGTCACCACCACCGCCGGGGGTCGGCGTGGGCGGGGGGGTGGGGTCGGGGTCGTCGTCGCCGCAGCTGCCGCGGCGGCTGCGCGGCACGGCGATCTATGGTTGACCGGTAAGTTGCAGAGGCGGAATTCGATCAAATCAAAATATGTAGGAAGGACGAAACTGGCAGTTGCAGTAACATACATGTGGGCGCCCAACCCATTCTTCCCGTACATAACGGCGTTGCAGTTTCGGAGACCGTGGCTGCGCTCTCAGCAAGGCCCAA